TCTTGTGCTATAATCGGCAATCGGCAATCGGTGAGGAATTAGAATGGCTTAGAGTCCCTTAAACAACGTTTACAAGAAAAGCAAATGTGAGAACTCAAGAAGAAGAATTCAAGCCAAGAATTCGAACTCACGACCTCTCGTTCGTTGAACCGCACCGCTGCCACTGCGCTATCTCGCTTCATAACTACGTTTAAAGAGTCGCTTCCCAGATTTGGACAGATTTGAGATGAGCGTTCAAAAACACATTTAGTGGTGCATGTCTCGTTACAGGCCACTTCGACCTGGTATCCTTCCCTTGTTAGTTTTAGTCTTTTTCGGGATTGTTCACCGTAGCGAATGCAAATTTTCATTCTCTTCCTTCTTTTCGCAACGAATAGGTCTTAAAGGAATCTTGCGCGGAAAAATCATGATTCTATTTCAGCCATAAATCACTGGCTTGAGACTCATTATCCACGATAATAGTGAAAAGAACTGAAGTATTGCTTTCGTTTTGATTAGAAATTCGAAAACTCGAAAAGGCTGCTACGCGTTCGAATTGCCCACGGACGTCTTTCACGAATGCTGGCGACGGGGATGCTCAAACTTGGTTCTTGGAGTGCATTCACTAGAAGCTCTTTCTGGCCTTCTGCTTCGTTGCATTCACATCTTACACTTCTACTCCATCCTATTCCATCGATCGATTTGTCTCCACTCTCCGAAATCGCGCGCTTTAACCCGATTCTCTCATTGCGTCGCCTGGTACGTAGCCGGCCAAACGCCGTCTTCTTTCCATGCCTCGCCTGGCTCTGCCTCCTGGTCCTTCGATGGTCCATAACGTGTAGTTTTTGTACGTTTGTTTCTCTTCAGAAACCGAATCTTCATGCGTGAAACTTTGTGTGCTATTTCCAGTGATCACAACTGACATATTCATGTTAGGAAAGAGTGCAAGAATTTTCCGCGCAAGATTCCTTTAAGCTACCAGCTCATGCGAAAGAGAGAAGCATGCGGTGCCAGAGCACGATTTCTTCCAAAAGCTCTTGTGATTAGAACGTCAAAAATTACGGAAGTCCAGCAGCAGATCACACCCTGAGCAAGGGGCTTGTTGTGAAACAGTCTTTGATTAAAACCACACGTGACCAAGCTCAACTTAGTAGCCATTAGGTTCTCCCATATAACTTCACATTTATTGCTGCAAAACTCATAGAAAATTGTTCAGGGTGTGAAACACGTTTAGCGATGTGATGCTCACATTAGCCGAACTGAGCAAGTTCTTCATCACTATCGATGGAGCTCTCAAGCGCTAAGCAATCTAGAAGACCAAACACAAGATAGGTGCGATCACGCTCCTTCAATCCACAGTGCATGCTGTTCACTCTTTTCCAGGGTTGGCTTTTCTGTTCTGTTTCACTCTCCACCCACCCCGTGGCTGGCAATCTCATTGCTCTACCGAATGCCACTGAAAGGGAAAAGCTAACCATTAGTTGTCAGAGCGCTTCCGATACGCTAAGATGAAAAAACTGATACATTTCCGTAGATTCAAACACACAGAGCTTGCATTTAACACGCTCTGAGCCCGTCTCTGCACCGAACACGATGACGTCGTGAGTTTCCCTTGACGTTTCCCTGTTCCTTTCCACAATGAGGTCGAAGGTCGATTAAGGGGAAAATTAGCTAGTGCAAAGACAGGCGGACCCCATAAGGGTGCGGACCGACACGCAATTTGTAGCGAAGGATATGTCCCCGGCGACCTAGGGTGGCCTCCCCGCGGCGCTATCGGCGCGCCACGCCCCGCTAACCACACGCCGCAGGTTACCATTCTAGCCATTTAAAAGAGAGCGTATGTACGAAGAGGGCAGCACCGATGAGAGTCCCATCAAATCGGTAAACTTCGCCTCCGAACAGGGACTCACTCTCTCCCTTAATGAGGGAAGGGCGTGTCATGAGACGTGCGCGGGGTATCGCGTCCATTAGCTCACACTAGCCTTTTTGTGAGGCCCCAACGTCATCAACGTCCACATGACAACGGCACAACTGTGATACTCGGGTTACTCTATCCTCCCACAGAGTAAATTATTTGACATGGCGTCATCTGGAATTTTTGCTTTAAGCGATTCGGGAGTTCTGGCAGTAAAAGCTCAATAACCTTCAAATTCGATCCTTTTGAGTTGTTGATGGGATACAAATGGGGTTTTGCACTGCGAAACGACACCACAATACCAGGGTCAGCGCTCAAGGCAAATATTGACAGCTTGATGGCGACGCGTTCAATGTGAAAGCAAAGCAAGACAAAGTCTGCTTTTTTGTGAGGTCGTTCGAACCTTGCGGAGAAATTCATAAAAATTGGAGACTTTCCAGTTAACTGTCCTTTCAGCTCCGCCGTGTAGCCTTGGCCTCCCGCCAACGAAGGGCTTCCTACTCTTATCTCCCACGTTTCCCATCGCGAAAACTGTCGCGCTAACGATAAGCGACATGATTTTAAAACCGACATTGGATTTTTGTTTGAGCAGAAGTCCATGGAATCCCCCAAGAAAGACAACGACTAGCTCCTCATGCGTAGTTAATATTTTGTAGATAATATACGTGCATGGCTGGGCGAGCAAGCAATTCAGAAACACTAAAAAGGACCAGAATTGAAAAATGTCACAGTGATTGACAAACTGTGAGACAGCCTAATGCTTCGAAGCGCGATATTCTGGATATTGTATTCTTTTCCTGACTTTATTGTCTTTTTTTTACTCATTAGAGGTTAATTTCTTGATACAAACCTCCATGCCTTAGTAACCTGCAGATGAATTCAGTAGTAACTTGTTTGTAAAAAAGGTGTTTGAGATCTCACTTGCACATTGTTCATCAGAGAAGTTCATGGCCGGAATGTGCGTCGTGGGCTTGAAACAACTGAAACGCATTGCTTCAGTACATGCACACTGATCAAAGCTCTCAAAATTGAGACTAATTCTATTAGCAGGAATAACAGTAACAAAAAATAAAAGCATTAACAACAATAATAAAAATAATACCGTTTGAGCACCGCACCCAAGAGCAGAACAAAGCAGATCATGTAAAGTAGAACTCCAATCTAAAAACCACTTTATTAATGCTCTCATCAAAATACCCCTATCTACGAACAAAAATTTGAGAAACCTTTTTGCTTGGTGATTGTTTACTTGCACTAAATACTCCCCATTATTAGCGTTACTGTAATTATTATATTAGTAGTGGCTATTACTACTGAAAATTACTGTTTACCGCAGGAAAGGCCAAAGGAAGTGTTACTTCGCCCACATCATCTAACTTTTCGTTGCAAAAGGTGCCGCTGTTATGAAGTTTTACGGCAAAATATTCCTTAGTTGTTCCCCCGTAAGCAGAAGCAGGCCCTCCTTCACTGCCCCACCGTCTCCAGAATATGACGTCATCTGCCGTCACCGTCGAGCTCAACGAGGCTTACCGTAATCGCTCCATCCTGAAGCTGCTACATAATTTCTTCAATCGGTTAACTGATGAATGGTTCTTAGAGGCAGTAACTCCGAATGTGGGACCCCTGCCGATCAGCGTTTCAGACAACGTCGTGATGGCCCATGACCCGTCGGGGACCTCGCTGAGTGCGCACCGTGCACCTTGTTCTCATAGCAGGATCTTTTGACGTTGGGGTGGAAGGCTATTACGAAGTTTTCTGGTACACTGAAAAGAGCTCTTCAACTTCCAAATCGGGTCATTCTTTTAAATCCAGCAAAGTGCAGTTACTTCCGAAGAATGTGGATGGAAGTGAGCTTTTTTGTCCCCACCCCTGCCCTCGCCCGAAAAACCCATCCTATGATCATTCCACGATATAACACCTGCTATTGCAGTATTAATCCTCATCTTCACTGTGCTCTTCCCTCCGCCCTCTCCATCCCCCCTCCCAATTCACAGCGAACGTTCCGATTCGCGTAGGGATCAGAGCTCCCTCCAAGTTGTTGCCGTTGTGCTGCTCAGTGAAACCTGGTGTCTTTATCCGTTTTTATGTGTCCTAATACCGCACATTGAAGAAGCATTTAATCCTCCATAGTCTAAAGTGTCACTAAGCTTTCAACTTCGTGTTAGCTGGATCTTCATCCTCGCTGGAATAGGTTCTTGAATTGTTAAGGATATTCTTAGATTCCGTTTTCATAAGTAGCTAGTTTTCAGCTTTCGCACAACTGCTTTTGATTTCACTTTTGTGCACCTCCTATGTACAAGAGGGTGTTTTTCAGGGCAAGCCGCGCTTTTCGAAAGGGTCGTCTGCATATTGTAGGGACGCATGTATGGACTAAAACCATGTTTCGTTCTCGCTAAAGTTTTTAGTAGTGTCAACAAAGTTATGAACATGATTCTTACTCTACTCTAATCTTACTCTTACTCTACCCTAATCTTACCCTACTCTACAGTTTGATTTCCGCAACGACTAAATTTTGCAATCAAGGTTGGCGGCCACTTGTTGGCTTCAAAATGGTCCTGACGATGAATATGACATCTGATTTTGACATTTAGCGCGATTTGGCACCAAACCGTAGGCGCCAACCCAAATGCAAAATTTAGTCGCCACGGGGGATCGAACCATTAACAGTACCTTATGCTTCTTTTTTGGTACTGCTATAACCGTTCAGCGAAAATGAAACATGGTTTTGTGTTCCCTACATGCGTCCCTACAATATGCAAAAAACCGTTTTGAAGAAAAGCGTGGGCCCTGAAAGACCCCTCTTGTTAATGAATACGCTGACCTAAATCCGCGCTGCTGACCCTCTATGTACTTCTTCGAGAACTTTCAAGTCTTTGAATTTTACTTCCTCGGCGGAACCACAACTCACGTGGTGATAGCTCATCTTTGTTGTTACAGGTGTCTTGAAGCCTCAAATCTAGTTGCTCTTGCGAACATTTTGAAAAAAAAAACTGTCGGTGATTAGGACATGTTTTTCGAAAGATTATCGATTATGCAGATTACAAGGTTTTACGGGTGTTTTATGAGATGTCATGATTTCAACTGATAACGGCTGAATCGTTCTAAAATTGCTTGCTGAGGATTCTTTATGAATAATAACAGAACGACGTACAAAATGACAGTTGAGCGCATAGCTTGAGTCGGACTCGTACTCATCCACTGTTTGATCATCCCTTCTGAACAGAACTGGTTAACAAATAAAATCAACAGCTATAAGTGCTGATTGCAGGTTGCATCCAGCAGCTCTAATATATTCTAAGGCTACATTATTCAGTAAGTATTTCAGGAAAGTAGTCGAATTTCATTTCAACTTTTGTAGGTTTTTCAATTATGACAGTAATCATGACTTACTCTTTGTTTCGAATGGCAATAGCAACAATATTTACACGGCCGCCGGTGTTCTTGAGGAGTTCGTCAGGATCTTTCTGAAAACGGATATTACACGAAAAGTTCTCATCAGCAAATTAACCACTGAAGAAGATATAATGGATCTCACCGTCTCGTCATCCTGTCCCGATTTTCTCTTCGTCGACTTCCAACGGCTTGAATTCGTCGTCTTCTATTTCTTCCTGCAAACGATTTGAGAAATGGATGTAACCGTTGGTACATTATGGCCAAACTGGGTCAGTAACCCATTCAATAGAGGCAAACTGCGAATCAGCTTCAGTCGACTCAGGAATCTCGAAACGGTGAAGCATGAGAACGCATGAGAGGGGTCAGCGGTGTTTAGTGAGATTGAAACCACCTGGGCATTATCTGTGGAACAGGTCAGGGGTGGGATGGATATTGACATTGCCAAAGCGTGTAACGTCAGCTATTAAACGGGATTTTGCATGACGTCAAATTCATGAGACTTGTTCCGTGAATATATTTCCCTGAACATAGCTTTACCCTCCACCAGTTCAAGAACGTGGGCCGTGTGCAGCAATACCCACCCAGGACTGATCCTCAAAATACTGCAACTCTACTGCAGTTGACGGCGCGATCACCATGGCCAGGAATAGGGGAAGTGTCCACAGAGGCGGAGTTTTGGGAACAGATTCTCTGCCGGGTAGTGGTTCACACGACGTCTTGTCCTCATCTCCGAGAGCATTCCCGTCACCGAGGAGTGAGCAGATCCACATGAGGAATTTACAACAGTCGTTCGTTGTGAACGATCGTATGTTTTGGGAAAAAAATCACACGTAAAAAAGAATAAAGAAGCCGAAGAAACATGAACTTTCTCTCACTTTGTCATCTTGCTTGGATGTGTCATCACGTCGAAGAAACTCATCACCAGAAATTGGCGCGAAGTTGTGCTTCTGAAGAAAGAACTAATGACTCATTGCCATTGTATCAAACGTTCAATTGAACATTGCAATTGGTTTTAATAAGCTGAGGTAGTGTCACCCTGATTTTCTTCGCCTCATCCTCATCGTACTGGTCGGTCATAGGATGAACCACGATACTGTCTACGACATCCTGAACAATTCAACATAACGTGTACCTCGTGAAGCATTCAATGAAAGTGTATTGCATGGTACGAATGGCAGGACTCTAGCAGATGCGGACGATTTTTCGTTAAAGGAATCTTGCGCGGAAAATTCTTGCACTCTTTCCTAACATGAATATGTCAGTTGTGATCACTGGAAATAGCACACAAAGTTTCACGCATGAAGATTCGGTTTCTGAAGAGAAACAAACGTACAAAAACTACACGTTATGGACCATCGAAGGACCAGGAGGCAGAGCCAGGCGAGGCATGGAAAGAAGACGGCGTTTGGCCGGCTACGTACCAGGCGACGCAATGAGAGAATCGGGTTAAAGCGCGCGATTTCGGAGAGTGGAGACAAATCGATCGATGGAATAGGATGGAGTAGAAGTGTAAGATGTGAATGCAACGAAGAAAGGCCAGAAAGAGTTTCTAGTGAATGCACTCCAAGAACCAAGTTTGAGCATCCCCGTCGCCAGCATTCGTGAAAGACGTCCGTGGGCAATTCGAACGCGTAGCAGCCTTTTCGAGTTTTCGAATTTCTAATCAAAACGAAAGCAATACTTCAGTTCTTTTCACTATTATCGTGGATAATGAGTCTCAAGCCAGTGATTTATGGCTGAAATAGAATCATGATTTTTCCGCGCAAGATTCCTTTAAGGCCCAAAGATCAAGTCAGTAAGCAGCTGTTTCTGCTGGCGTTTGCTTCAGCGTAGTCAATGCTACATTTTACCAAACTAAGTTACATAAGCAAAATAGAGGGAATGAGGTAACATGATCGAAAAGACAAGGCAAAAAAGAGATTATTTCGCACCCGTCGGGCGGGAGCGGGTTATTAGCAAATGGCTTTCACAACCAGCTCGCGGTCTTGGGAACATTTCCTGGGAACTGCGTCCAGGAATGGCTTAACATCCTTCCGAGACGGGTAATTGGTACCAGACTCTTCTAGCAAAATAAAAACGCTGATTGTACATCGGTTGGACCCCGCAAGTCATCACTTAGACCAATCCGCACTCAAATTGTCCACTACGATTTTGATTGGAAGTAGAAAGCGTGGGGCATCTCCAAGCGTGACTGATCAACCCCGATGTTTATCCTATTATATGTACTTTTCGTACCAGTCATTCAGAGGTGGAGGGAATGACCCATTTGGCAAGAACAGTGTGATACAGAAATCTCCTTGCAGAAGCTTGATCGCTGAACCAAAAGTAAAAAGAATCACAATTTCTAAGTCAACTGAATAGATTTGAGTGGCGACAATATAATGAAATGGGTGAGGAATGCTCCGTTACATATTCTTCACAATTTCTTTTTTTTTCACCAGTATTGGTTAGCCCTTCGTTTTTATTTTTTTTTCTTCGCAGATTGGTTTTTCTATGACTGTTTTTGTGGCAAAATGTGTGATCCTGTTAAGATAATCTCATTTCTTATGAATCAGAGCTTTTTATTTCCTGTCACTCGAGAGTTATCAGATGGAAGTGTTTTCCCGAGTCAGCCAACCATCTGCTTCTCACATGATTTTCATTGACAGCCATTCCGGTTCGATAGTCTTCGGCCTCTAGCCGATAAGTATTTCAAACAGACTCGAATTAAAAAATAGCAGGAACGAAATCGAACGCACCAGTCCATGCAGTTCCTCCTCTGACGAGGGAACCTCGTATTTCACGTCCTCCTCGTCAGCATACTGAAATAGTCATAGTCATAATCAGTGGTATGAAATTTTCATCGCTTGATAGTATTAAGCATACAGGGAAGGGGGCTGCAAAAAAAAAGACATTTTGTCTCCACTTCCAGATGGATTTAAGCACACTTTGCTCAATTCAGACCGAATGGTTCCAACTTATTATTAAAGAGCGCATTCCATTCTATAAGAAAATCTTCATAGTGGCCACCTACGTGGACGGCATCAGAAGAATTTGCCCTGGAAACATGGTGCACTGGTCGAGCTCAATGGGGTCTTCGAAGGATCGTGTACCATAACGACCTTTACTGGAAAGCTAGTTCCGAGGGGATTTGCATAGTGGTAGCTAATGCCTCTAGAAAACTATCCAACATTAAATCGATTCACGAAATTGCGTAAGAGCTTCAGGCTGAAGCACTTACGGTAGACCTCCTTGAGCTTGACGACGGTGACAGATGACGTCATATTCTGAAGACGGTGAGGGCAGTGAAGGAGGGCCTGCGTTACTTATAGAGGGACATTAGGGAATACTTTGCTGAGGAACTCCCGTCAACGACGGCAATCTCTGCGAAGAAAAAAGGGCCGAAGTCCGACATAGGCAAAATGTCTTTTTTTTTGCCCCCCCCCCTGTATACATACTATATATGGATCGGAAGTAATAGAAGGAACTATCCCGGTCGAGTTGACCAGTTCCACTCCAGCCCGGTTACCATGTGGTGAAATTCTCTGTATGGATACGTTTTCGTCGCGTATTTTGCTGCGAGCTCGTGTCAAAAATGAATCGGAGTAGCACACAGGTTAGCCCAAATCAGTCTCCTTCCTGTGAGCCAAATATCTGAGCCCCATTGAAAATCACGCAACGCTCTAGTATATCTCTCCACTTTTGCCATGCTGCAACATATTCTGACAAGTAATCCTTGTCCCGTTTCCTAGCTATCGGCCTAAAGAAACTGAAGGCAGGCATAGCGATAGAGACACTTGATTAGAAATCAAAGCAAAACTGATCAGGGATGCAGGAAAAAAAGCCGAGAAAAACGGCTTGAACCTGAGATGGAATCCGTTTTACCGGTTGGTCAGGGCGTTTAGCGATTCTTACCAGTGTTGAACTCATCATCGCCAACTCGATTTGAAAGAGAATTATCTGCTTTATAAAACGCTAGGTAACGCTTCCACACTAGTTTCAAGATTTTTGAATTTTATGCCTAACAGGAGGTCCAGCCACGAAAATTAGCCAGCCCGACAAATAGCTCTAAGTCTATTTTCCCTTATGACAATCAGTTATTGCGTACCCTTGACGTGTTCATCAACTCTCCTAAACATTCCATTATTAGGTTGTTCAAAAACCTCGCCGTGTTTCTTCTAGATTTTGCTTTTTCTGGCTGACCAATAAGCCAAAGCGATTTTTGAACTGAAATTATTCCAAACACTAGTATTCTACATAGAATGGTATACCATGCGTTAGCACATTTTCTGTTCTATTCGATCATTTGTTTGTCTTTATACTCGTTGTGAATTAGGTTGAATTTTGGGCCTGCATGTCGTGTTCAGACACGCAAATGATCACATCACTTGGAAAAACTTCCTCGAGAAGATAAGAATTCAACCGGGCTTGCATTCCTAACTTAGTCATGACTTCTTCTCAACAGTCCATTGGTTTTTGTTGTTTTGGCTGTAAAAAATGATGCTGCTGTAATTCAAGAGAAAATGCTTGACAGTAAAACTAAGCCCGAAAAAGAGCGCTTTGTTGAGAAGCCTAATAGCGAAAGATACCGTGGCTAAGTGGAGGGTCATAATTCATTGATTTCTCCTAAAGGAAAGAGAGTCAGGCTAGTTGGCGGTTTGGGTATTCCTCGTCTACTGGATCTCTCAGTTCACAGGCCTAAAATTCAAAGATCCCGCGTAAAAAATCTATTTGTAAGCGAAACAAAGCATTCGCAGGCAAACAACTTTCTTTCGGATGGGGTATAACCTAATATAAAACAGTGGGTTTTCAGCGGGAATTTTTTTGTTCGAATAAAAATCATACTATCAATGGAAGAACCTAATACATGCCCTTCACTGCGGGACGCGCGCCGTCCTGCACCTTTTAAAAGCTCACGTGCGTTTCTTTCAGGTATGGTTCACCTTCCTATCTCCACATTTATCGTAGGGCCCTTCTCCAATGAGAGTAACTCGGTGTAGCGACAAGTGGCGCGGTCCATAGGGATCAAACCACTGCGCCGACTAGCTCAACCGCGTGCGTGTTAAGCTATTCCCAGTCTCCTTCTTCGTCACCATTTGGATATTTGGCCCCAACCTTGTTTTTGAAAATAAAATACTGACTTGACCTTCGTGACTCATTTTATAGGTCAAAGCGCATTCAATTTGTACTGCTTATTTACGGTAGCCGATTTCGCGGCGCATCCCTGGAATGGCTGTATGTGGAAGAGTACTCCATTATTCATTCCCTCAAAGCAAATAACAGTAGGCAATAAAGTGACCAGGCCGAAATTTTGATACAAGTGTTATCGAGCGTTCTTTCTGCTATCGCTTAACGACTGTGATCAGTAGCGTCGACAATTGATAATGAGAGCGCTTAGTAATTGAAAAAGCTCCGTTCAAATAGAGAACATGGTACATCAAGGTTATTTAAACAGCAGTTTCCCAGATTTAGTCCATCATAGACTGTCATCTTGTAGCTAAGAACATGTTAAAAATGTTTCGAGAA